GCTTCCTATTTGTGGAATGCTTTCCCAAGGGAGGCTCACCTGGTGCCTTCATTGCATAACTTTAGGCACCAGGAGAAAACCTTTCTCTATAACCAGACCTTTGACTGGTTAACATTCTATGGCCTTTTAAATGTGTTTAAATAGTTTCTTCACTTGCTAAACTCAAAACAGCTATGCAAAATAAATAAATAAAGGAGAAACTGAATTCTTGTAACCAGGTACGTGTGTGCGCACCTCCAGAGTATCAGTCTTTTGCAAAGGGATTGAAGTGCATCCCTGGAATTTTAGGTTGGCACAACTAAGGTGCCCTGTTAGACTTTTTGTGGTTTGGAAAATGATGCGGAAAAGCATTGACAAATTTTGGACGAACAAATTTTTAATGGGAAGACATACAGTGCGCCTCTAGATGTCCTTTTTATTGTGCATTCATGACGATTTGTGTTCACAATACTATTGAGGGGTCATACGTGAGCCCGCTTTTAGTACTGTTTATACCAGCAAACCCTTCTTCATTTCCAATAAGTGCATATTGTGTAACATTACAACTGCTACAATAGGCAGAAAAATATTAAGTTGTTCAGGGAGACCCTCCACAATGTTCAAGTGGTCTGCGATGAAAAAAGTTTGGGATCCCATGCTTTGTGCAGAAGCCTTGTGCAAGCAAATCAGGGTGATTGCCGAACAAACCAATTGTCTGGAAGAGCAAAAACATGAAACAGCAGTTTGGAACAGCAAGGAAAAGAGGAGAGAGAGAGAACTGTGAATTAGCAGAAGGCTGGGAGCCCCTTGAGGTTGCAGGTCCTTTCTCAGGGGATCTAATGTGGAGTAGCAAATCTGCCGCCTTTGTAGGACTGCATGCCCTTTGCCTCCACTTATGTTCTGCTTGTATATTTGTAAATAATGCAAAATTATAAAAATGCTGCAAGTTTTCAGTGCTCTCTGTCCTCCAAAGGAAACCAAGCCAGAATTCTTTCTGCTGCCCTTGAGGCTTCTCATCACTTGGGAATACACACACCAATATAAGGAGACGTAGGTCCTGGGGAAATGTGGGTGATGGAAACATGGAGCTGAAGAAGCCGAGAAGATGGGGATGGAGCAAAAAACACATAGCGACTAGGGTCAGAAAGGGCTGTAAGGACTCAAGAGAAGCAGTTCTGTGGATATATGGTCTACATTCTGTAACTTTCAAGAGTTACAAGAATTCTGTCAGCTGTAGCTTTGCCTATTGCTGTAGTACCACAGTGGTAGGTAAGGAAAGAAACATGCACACACACAGACTGCAACACGAAACACACTTACTAGGGAGAAAACCCCACTGAGCACAGATGGACTTACATCCAAGTAAGCAGGCACTAAGGCCACTAAGCCTCTCTTCTATGCAGCTAGTAGAGCAAAGATGGGAAAATTTTGGCCCATCAAATTTTGTTGGACTCCAACTCCCATCAGCCCCAGCCAGCATGACTAATGGTCAGGGATGATGGAAGCTGGAGTCCAACATATGGAGGGCCACAAGCCCCACATCTCTGCATTGGAGGGGCAGGAGTTTCTGAGGATGGGCATCTTGTGTAAATCTATTTCCCCCCACCCATGTGATACCCATTATGAACCCACCCAATGACAAATTGTGTGGGCCTGTAGGACTATCATGGTTACACAGAGGAAGGGCCATAGCTCAGTGGGACAGCATATGCAGGAGGTCCTGGGAACAATCCCCAACATCTCTGCTTAAAGGAATCAAGAAGAAGGTGATGGGAAAGACCTTTGTCTGAAACCCAGAAAGTAACTGCCAGTTGGAGGACATAATACTGGGGTAGAACACCAAGAGTATTACTCAATATAGGGCAGCTTCCCTTGCACAGCAGCCAGGAGCGTTTGTGCAATGCCAGGAACAAGAAGCTGCCATGCAGTTGAAATGAGGGCAGAACAGGTACGCCACACAGGATTACAACATAACGTCACACCACAGGTCTTGCATCCAGCTCCTCCACCCTGACTGCAGCTTCTACACCAGGCTGGCAGGAGGCAGCTGTGTTCCTCTGAGCCAGCCCACACCCCTGCTTGGGTACCTCACCTGGTTTGGCCATATGATCCAATCACAAATCTCCGTTAGGAATCCCATCGCATTCCAGTTTGGGAGAGTTTTTTGCCTGGAGCTTCCCTAGTGTGGCCTGCAACCCAAAGCAGAGCCAGGCAGGAAAACAGCCATTTGGCCATACTGGTTATAAGTCCCCAAGCAGAGCTGGACATTTCTGGCGAGAACTGCAACCGTCAAGTACAGGCAGATCTTGCTAAAGCTTTGGATTGAGTCACCTGTCCTTTGCCAAAGACATTCTAAGAGAGAATGTCATGTTCAGTACAGAGTCCTCTGTTGATCTCCAAGACAGTGGGAAGAGATGCAGGGGAAAGGGGTGGAAAGAGCTGAACGGGAACCGTTGCCAGTCTTTAGAAGAACCTTTGGGGGAAATGCAAAACAGTTGCCGGTTTCCATGCATGCCTCTGCAACTTTTCCTATTTATCATTATGCAAACCACGTGCTGGCATGTACTAACTTTGCAACATACCACAGCACACCTACCCACTATAGCAATTTGACTTGTACATTACTGTCTGACTGGGGGATCTTCAGTATGTTCTTTCCCTCCCTCCATTTTATTCCTACTTTCCTAGGGATGAGTAAATCTGTCCATTTTGGCTTCTCTAAGTTTCTCATTTTATCACTCTTAAGTTCAGTTCTCCAACACTGACACATCACTTTGCAAATAATTTATTTTTAAAGTCCTCATGAAGATGCATCAGGATTTTAGTGAGAATTTATCCTAATATTTATACTGATATTTACTGTATATTTTCCCTCATATAATGCATTTTCTCTTCACCTCTTTACCCTGCCTTTTGACACTTGGGATGTAAAACACTGTTTACCTTCCTGCTGCAGTGGTACCTATTTATCTACTTGCACTGGTATGCTTTCAAACTGCTAGATGACAGGAGCTGGGATAAAGCAACTGGAGCTCACCCTGTCAAGCAGATTCAAACTGCTAACCTTACAATCGGCAAGCCCAAGAAAGTCAGTGGTTTAGACCACAGTGCCACCCATACTGAGAGACAGTGGCCCAAGTTATCCAGCAATCTTCCTGAGTGGGGATTTCATAGAATCATAGAATCATAGAGTTGGAAGAGACCACAAGGGCCATCGAGTCCAACCCCCTGCCAAACAGGAAACACCATCAGAGCACTCCTGACATATGGTTGTCAAGCCTCTGCTTAAAGACCTCTAAAAAAAAGGAGACTCCACCACACTCCTTGGCAGCAAATTCCACTGTCGAACAGCTCTTACTGTCAGGAAGTTCTTCCTAATGTTTAGGTGGAATCTTCTTTCTTGTAGTTTGGATCCATTGTTCCGTGTCCGCTTCTCTGGAGCAGCAGAAAACAACCTTTCTCCCTCTTCTATGTGTTATCCTTTTATATATTTGAACATGGCTATCATATCACCCCTTAACCTCCTCTTCTCCAGGCTAAACATGCCCAGCTCCCTTAGCTGTTCCTCATAAGGCATCGTTTCCAGGCCTTTGACCATTTTGGTTGCCCTCCTCTGGACACGTTCCAGTTTGTCAGTGTCCTTCTTGAACTGTGGTGCCCAGAACTGGACACAGTCCTCCAGGTGAGGTCTGACCAGAGCAGAATACAGTGGCACTATTACTTCCCTTGATCTAGATGCTATACTCCTATTGATGAGGCCCAGCATTGCATTGGCTTTTTTAGCTGCCGCGTCACACTGTTGGCTCATGTCAAGTTTGTGGTCAACCAAGACTCCTAGATCCTTTTCACATGTACTGCTCTCAAGCCAGGTGTCACCCATCTTGTATTTGTGCCTCTCATTTTTTTGCCCAAGTGCAATACTTTACATTTCTCCCTGTTAAAATTCATCTTGTTTGTTTTGGCCCAGTTCTCTAATCTGTCAAGGTCGTTTTGAAGTGTGATCCTGTCCTCTGGGGTGTTAGCCACCCCTCCCAGTTTGGTGTCATCTGCAAATTTGATCAGGATGCCCTTGAGTCCATCATCCAAGTCGTTGATAAAAATGTTGAATAAGACCGGGCCCAAGACACTGTGCCCTGTGGCACCCCACTAGTCACTCTTCTCCAGGATGAAGAGGAACCATTGATGAGCACCCTTTGGGTTCGGTCAGTCAGCCAGTTACAAATCCACTGAGTGGTAGCATAGTCAAGACCGCATTTTAGCAGCTTCTTTACAAGAATATCATGGGGCACCTTGTCAAATGCCTTGCTGAAATCAAGGTAGGCTACATCCACTGCGTTCCCTTCATCTACCAGGCTTGTAATTCTGTCAAAAACGAGATCAGGTTAGTCTGACATGACTTATTTTTCAGAAATCCATGCTGACTATTGGTGATCACAGCATTCCTTTCTAGGTGCTCACAGACTGTTTGCTTAATGATCTGCTCCAGAATCTTCCCTGGTATTGATGTCAGACTGACTGGGCGGTAATTATTTGGGTCCTCTCTTTCCCCTTTTTGAAAATAGGGACAACATTTGCCCTCCTCCAGTCTGCTGGGACTTCGCCTGTTCTCCAGGAATTCTCAAAGATGACTGCCAGTGGTTCTGAGATCACATCTGCCAGTTCTTTTAATACTCTTGGATGCAGTTCATCTGGCTCTGGAGACTTGAATACATCTATTATTATTTTTTAAATAATATTTATTGATTTTCCAACCATTTGAACACAATAAAACAGAAAAAACAAAAAAGGAAAAGAAAAAGCAAAGAAAAAAAGAGAAAAAACATAAGATTAACAAAACAAGACGCAAACCATTTAAAACACAAAACAATTTCAATATCTTAACTTTCATTCCCTTATTTGCACGACCTCCTCACGCCTCCCTTTCTGTATTCCACTTCTATTGTTTCAGCAATTCCTTTCCATCTTCCTCTGTTTTCTATCCTATAATTATCTTAACATATTCTAATCTTATTTTTCCTTTTGATACTCTATTTCTATTTATACTTAATTCCTTATAACATTTCTACTAAAGCCATATAACTTCATTCCAACATTTTTCTAACATTCATTATTTTTACAATATTTCTATAAATAGTCTTAAACTTTTTCCAGTCTTCTTCCACCGTCTTTTCTCCCTGGTCTCGGATTTCTGCCAGTCGTTTCCGCCAATTCCATATAGTCCATCAACTTCATCTGCCATTCTTCCCGGATAGATAAATCTTGTGTCTTTCAGTACTTCACAATGAGTATTCTTGCTGCTATTGTTACATACATGAGACAAATTCTATCCTTCTTTAACACCAATTGACCGACCATGCCCAGGAGAAAGGCCTCTGGTTTCTTCAAAAGGGTATATTTAAATACCTTTTTCATTTCGTTATGAATCATCTCCCAGAGTGTCTTAATCCTTGGGCATGTCCACCAAAGGTGAACTCTAATCCTCAAATTCGTCTGTTTTTCCTTAAATTCAGTCATAGCGAGCGTCAACTTGTGTTCATCAAATTGCCTCTGTAGGGCTGGGGCTCTCTTTCTCTTTCTCTCCAGTTGTGTTTCTGTACCTTCAACAGCAGCAGCTTTTTCCTTGACTTCCTCCATAGCTTGCCATATCAAAATAGGTTCTTGTATCAATTTCTGGGTGGTTTCTGTATTGGTATTGTCCATACTCCCTGCATTCAAGTCAACCTCAACAACTGAAACATCCACCTTCGCACTTATCATGTCCATTTTCTTGTGAAGCTGATCCAATGAGTGATTTATCTTATGTAATGCTGCCACCAAAGCCTCTTCTGTCGACATTCCTCTTAGTTTCAAATATACTAGTACAGAGGCAGCAACAAAAAGAATAGGAGGGCTTAATAATAAACCTCTCCTGGATTGTTACCAAGTTCTCCCAGACCTTAATGTTTTATCAATAGTTGACTGGTCTGTTTTTCCTCTTCCATTTACCATAACATTTGAAAGATTCAAGGTCAGTCCCAGAGTCTCACGGTTTTTAACTTACAGCTGGAAATTCCCCTAGTCCAACTCTTGTAAATCAACCAGTTTCAAAGGCTTCCACTAGGGGGAAACAGTTTCTATTTGTAAAAGTCAATAGTATCCTCTTTTAAACAATCCAAAGTTAGTTTCAAATTAGTTTCAATTTTCAATTACTTTTACTCCTTTTTAAAGCAGCCGGAAACAGTAGAAACAATGTATTTCTCTTATTTAGCTAGCTGTCAATGAACGTTCTAAGCACTGTCAATGAACATTCCAAAAAACGTCAGTTTTACTAGCAGCCCGTTTCCAGGGTCAGAGCGGCGGTGTTTTAAGCCTCTTCGCTCTCTCCCGCAGGCATACTCAGTCCGCAACTTCCCCCTCTCTTCTCCTGCCTCCAAGAGGGGGTTTAATGTTCTTTACCGTTGGAAATTTGATCTTTTTCAAAAGACCTTTCAAGACTCCAGCTTGCAACTTCATTGCCTCAGTCTATTTACAAAAAGGGAAGGCAGACTTCCTGTTTTGAACCTCCCCGTTACGATACCAAATTAAACTTTTAGAAATCCAATTCTTCCGTTTCAGCTCTACTCACGGGTAATTACTTTAAAGTCAAATTGTCCACAGGAAAAGGTCAGCACTCTCCGGCAACAGCTATGCGGCTTCGCTCCGTGGAAGAAGTAGACGATTCGATGCACCGCGCCGCTCACCCCACATCGCTCCGGAGCCCCAAAACCCAGGGTTCCCCACGAGTGGGAGAGGCGCAAAAGGTGCCTGCCGAATCCCACGTTCACAGGCTTCTCCCGCCTGTGATTTTAACGGGTCTCCGCCTTTGCCGTGGCGGCCAGACCCAGATTTCCACGGAGCAGATTCCTCCCGGTCAGAGGAATTCTGCCATTACCAGAGGCACCTCCCCCGGAAGTGAGACTTGAATACATCTAAACTAGCCAAGTATTATTGTACTATCTTGTACTATAGAATCATAGAATCATAGAGTTGGAAGAGACCACAAGGGCCATCGAGTCCAACCCCCTGCCAAGCAGGAAACACCATCAGAGCACTCCTGACATATGGTTGAATCTGGGTGTCCCCAGTACACCCTCAGTGGCATAGCATGGGTTGCTGGTGCCCTGGGCAGGGAAGTGTTGTGCCCCCTGGTGGACTGGGCAGCTGGAGTGGAGGTGCGTGCCAGGGGAGTGCAGAGCCCACGAGGCACATGGCTGCCAGTGGTGCTGGTGCTGCCTGGGCCCGGGGGTGGGGTGCATGGGCACTGTGCCTGGTTGTGCCCCTCTCAGAATTTTGCGCCCAGAGCCACTGCCCTTCTGGCCCCCCACACTATGCCACTGCCAGTGCTAGTCTAACAGTATCACCACTACATTTCACTGGCTCTTGTTTTTCAAGAAGCCGATTTGTATTTATTTTCCATTTGTAGCACATGACCAACATGTGATTTACCTAGGTAGCATTCTCATCATGGGAATCTGTCAGTTTTCAAGCAATGGAAAATGCAGAGCCTCTCCCGTAGCATAATCCATCAAGCACTTTTGTAATTGTTTGTGGCATAAGGTTTGTGGTTGAAATCATTATTTTGTGGGCAGAATCTCTGATGTTGTTTTGTGTGACCAAGAGCAAGACAAACGCCACACCCACCCATCTGCTCAACCGTGCCTTGACGACTGCACAAGTCCTCAACTTTGTCTAAAGTATCAATATTATATTAGTTAGCTTGAATATACAACAACCCCAACACTTTTAAGATATCCAGGCTCTTCTTATCTTCTCGTGCTTGGTAATATCTTAAAAGTTTTGCTGTTGTTGTGTAATCAAGCCAGCTAATTTAAGTACTTCAGACAAACCTGGTGGCTTGAGATATACAAATCAGGCAGTCTGAGATATGTGTCCATGGTCCCCATTAGTGTATTCATGTACATTTCCAAACACATATACATCAAACCTAATTCCATTTCTTTCTGAATCCTATTAGCAAACTAGTATATGCATGAAACAATTTTGCCCACCAGCCCAAGTACTGGACTGCACATCTCATGCAATTTTGAAAAGATGGAGAGAGGAAGTGGCTAACAGAAGCACGGCTATCCACATAGCAAAGAGAACACTGTCTCCTAATTGCACATGATACCTAGTTAACAAACAAGCGACTTTCACACAGGCTGTAGAGCATGAGTGTGCAAGAATGTCAAAGCAGGTAAAATAATATTGGTAATCACTTTGGGTAACTATGTGGAGGAACCCTTTGTAATGCACTAAGTAATAAAGTTTTAGGATCTTGGGTGCGTGATGTAGGGAAACACCTATTTTGAAGTTCAGGTTTCAAATATTATTTGCCAGTGTACACTACCAGATCACTTTCAGCCTACTCACAATCAGGATATGGATTCATTCTTCATTACACAAGACAAGTGTACAGTGGTGCCCCGCAAGACGAATGCCTCGCAAGACGGAAAACCCGCTAGACGAAAGGGTTTTCCGTTTTGGAGGTGCTTCGCAAAACGAATTTCCTATGTGCTTGCTTCGCAAGACGAAAATGTCTTGCGAGTTCCTGCGGGGTTTTTCCTCCCCCCCCCCGTTTTCCCAAGCCGCTAAACCGCTTATCAGCTGATGGCTAAGCCGCTTATCAGCTGATCTTTAAGCCGCTTAACAGCTGGTGCTAAGCCGCTTATCAGCTGATCTTTAAGCCGCTTAACAGCTGATGCTAAGCCGCTTATCAGCTGATCTTTAAGCTGCTTAACAGCTGATGCTAAGCCGCTTATCAGCTGATCTTTAAGCCGCTTAACAGCTGATGCTAAGCCGCTTATCAGCTGATCATTAAGCCGCTTATCAGCTGATCTTTAAGCCGCTTATCAGCTGATCGTTAAGCCGCTTATCAGCTGATCTTTAAGCCGGCTAAGCCGCTAATACTGTAGCGCTATGCCGCTAAACCTCTAATGGGCTTGCTTTGCAAGACGAAAAAACCCGCAAGACGAAGAGACTCGCGGAACGGATTCTTTTCGTCTTGCGAGGCACCACTGTATACATTTCCTTCCAAAAAGTATTGAAGGGTATGCTTTTGCATTATGGGTAAAAACTGTGCTTTAAACACAACTGCGAAGTGATTCTGCCTAAGTCCTGTGGGAGATAAACTTGAGGAAGAGAAGCAGGGAGAAGGAATACTCCCAGGGGGAACTTGTAGTGCTCTAGGTGTGGCCAGAAGACGTCCTTCTTTCCATCAAGGAAATGTTGGAGGGTATGCCAGACTACAGACCTCATCATCCATGGCCACTAGTCATGCTGGCTGGGGCTGAATCCAGCAACTTATGGAGGGCTCCACCCCTGCTCCAGACCCAGACAAGATCAGATTTTGCTGAAGGAAGCAAAGCTTCCTGATATTTCAGAAGTTAAAGGCTCCTCCCTCTATTACTGCCATCTGGCAGCTGCCCTTCCATCAGGCTATCATAGAGGAAGCAAAGCCAGGACACTCCATCAGCTCAGCAAATTTTAGCTCCTCCCCCCACCCTTGAGTTGTTTCCATTCCATCCCATTCCCTTGTGTTTTTTCTTTTAGATTCTAAACCTGGGAACAAAGACTGCCTGATTATTGAACTTAATAAATGGCTCTGGGAGCCACTTCATAGGGTTTGGTGTGATGTGAGTGAGTTGTGAATCGATATGAACTGACCTAAACCCTGTGATCATCATCTGAGGCCCTTCTTTGTGTGCCTTCTCTACATGAGGTCCAGAGAGTGGTAACACGGGAAAAGCCTTTTCTGCAGCGGCTTCACGTTTGTGGAATGCTCTCCCCAGGCAAGTTTCTCTTCAGCCAGGCTTTGGGCTGATTAACATTCTATGGCCTTTTAAATGTGTCTATGGGAGTGGGGTTATTGCTTTGTTTTGCTTTTGTTTCACTATGTATTTTGTGTTTTTTATTTTGTATTTTTATGTTGTGAACTGCCCTTTGATCTTCAGGTGAAGGGTGGCATGCAAATTTAGTGAATAAATTAATAGTGACAACTCTCAGGCTCATGTATTCCCACCAACTTCACCTCCCTTCCTCCTCTTTCTCAGTGAAACATAATTTCCTACATTCACATGCAAAGTGCAATAAATCAGACATTAGTTAAGAAATCACTGGGGTGGGGTAGAAGAGAGACTGTAGAAGCCCAAGCCTCACCACTGCTTTTTTACAGCAAACTTTAAATGAATTGGCATTAAACACGAATGAGAATGTCAAGACCATTTGCTTACCTAATCCCACATTATCAACTGTGATTGGCAGCTGGTCAGCCAGGCTTCATGCAAACTCCTTTCCAGGTTCTGTAATCCAAGATTCCTTTCAACATACTGTAGATACCAGGGATCAAACCTCTTCTGCTCCAGGTGATGGCTCTTGCAGAGGTGCCTGGCATTCAGAAGAGACAGCTCTGTGTGTCACTCAAGCTGAAACAAGTTTAACATGTTGCTTCAACACATAACCCCTGACTGAACCTTAAATAAGATGGCAGCTCAGTGTGGGTGGCTAGCTGCACCCGCAAGTGAAACCAGTTAATGTGACTCAAAGGGTCTTGCCTGCTTCAGCAGCCATAGATTTCTGCAGCAAGGCAGCTTATTGGCGATTATGCAGTGCTCAGAGTGGTAATGTGACCACAGGCTGGAGACGGGCTGGCAGGACAGTCTCTTCCTGCACTGGAGCTTCTGGGGCACTGGAGACCAGTGTGTCCGGCTCTGCAGCCGATTCCCTCTCCCCCTCCAGTTCTTCATGGCCTCATCCCTGAGATGTGAAGGCCATGAGAGAACCTGGAGACCTTGTGCAGGCAATGCATATGCTCAACCGCTAAGCTATGTTCCTTCTATGTGTTTAGAAATCTGCAATACAAGACATCTTATCCTGAAATAAGAAACAATATTATGGCTGCCATGCTAGACTGAAAGTCTCTTTGCAGAGCTAAGCTGGTATGGTGCAAGTAAGGGTTGAATGGATCTGGACAAATTTTGGCACATAGTTCATATCCACACCATACATTTAAAGTGCACAGTTTTCACCAAAGAATACAGTGGTATCTTGGGTTAAAAACTTAATTTGTTCCAGAGGTCCGTTCTTAACCTGAAACTGTTCTTAACCTGAAGCACCACTTTAGCTAATGGGGCCTCCCGCTGCCGCCACGCTGCCAGAGTACGATTTCTGTTCTCATCCTGAAGCAAAGTTCTTAACTCGAGGTAATATTTCTGGGTTAGCGGAGTCTGTAACCGGAAGTGTCTGTAACCTGAAGCGTATGTAACCCGAGGTACCATTGTAATGGGAACTGTAGTTTGTTCAGAGTGCTGGGAATTGTAGCTCTGCAAGGGCTAAACTACAGTTCCCAGGATTCTTTGTGGGAAGCCACATCCTTTAAATGAAAGGGGTAGATGTGACTCATAGGTGAAGGGGTCACATGGTTACTTCACCATATACCTAGCCCATAACATAGGAAGGTGTCTTATACTGAGTCAGGCCAAAGGTCCATTTTGCTCAGTATTGCCTACACTGATTGAAGCAGCTCTGCAGAGTTTCATCCTAGCAGGGGATGCTGGGGGTTGAACTGGGGGCCTTCCACATGCAAAGCGGATGTTCTGCCCCTGAGCTGCAGCCCTTTCTCTCATCAGATTCAGCCCACCTCCACCAGCCTGCTACAAAATGTTACATACAACAAGCACCAACTATGGAATGAATGTTTATTTTTATTTTCTGTTGATTACTTATGTTACACAGTTTTTAAAACCAATAAAGCATATAAAAAAACAGGAGGAAAACCCTGCTTTTGGCACACTTGTGGTGGCAGTAAGATATGGCTGAATTAAGATGTTAGTTTAACCAATCTGCTCTTGCCATAGATTCCCTGGCCCAGTCATGACCACACTTTTCATCTTATTTTTTGATGCAAGCAGGTGTTCTGGTGGAAGAATAATCTTGTTGGGCCAACAGGATAGTGTTCTTTCCTTTCCAAACACCAATGAAAAGCTCCAGGTCAGACTCACCATTTTCGCCACCCTACTTGCCCTTTGGCCATCACTCCCCGGATACTGCTCCTTTCCCAAATTAAATGCTACAAACATTCCGGAGAGAGCTGAAGCATTCCTAGCTAAGTGCCCGGCCTGTTGCACAATGCAGTGCTCAGGCAGTTCGATTTTTCCTACATCTCTGCCTGTTTAGATTCCTGCTTGCAGAATGACTAACTTTAAGGACTAAAAAAAAGTGTTTTGATTACACTGCCTTTTTTGGCCAACTGGGAGCATTAGTCACAGCATTTCTGTGCAGAGAAGCCAGGTTTTAGCACAGCATCACTCCTGCTCTCTCCCTCTCATACTTTCTCCCCTCCTCCACTTTTATGACATTTTAAGGATCTCAAAGACAATGAAAATTGAGGAGTGAGAGCATGTGAGGGCTGATAGCACTACATCCAAAGCATTGCATCACACTTACCCCACCACAGTCAGTGTAGGGCCTTCTGGGTGTGGGGAATTAAATGTGCACTCCCACCATCCTGGGCCTGGTGTCCTTCTCTTACTCATCCAGCAGATCAGCACGACCTCCTTTGCTCTGCCATCCAGCTGCTCACAAGGGAGAGGGCTGTCGGGGGCAATTTGCTCCATTTCAGCTAGCACTGGCCTCTGGTTTCCTGTATGCCCTGTTCCCCCACTCCTGCCTCTGCTACTCACCTCAGCCTCAGGCACACAAGATTCAGAGTCATCTTGTTGAGGCCACCAAGTTCTATGCATCCCAATCCCAAGACTATCATGGGACTGGAAATGGACAGTTTTTGGGCGCAAGAGGAAAGGCATGAGGAGCTTCTGGCATGGGGGTGGGGGGAGAGAACCTTTGCTCCAGTTGAGCACTAAAGAGCAGAAAAAATGAAATGCTAAAACACAGAACTTTAAAGCATGGACCTGTACCTGGAAAGAGTGGGGCAAAAGGTGCTTGTGGATAAGCCCAACAAGAGACACAATACAGCGTATCAAAGGGAGGGGTAGTCGCTGCTTTGCATGCAGAAGGTCCCAGGTTAAATCCATGGCATCTCCGGATACTTATTTCTTTATTGCATTCATATTCCATCTTTTCCCCAAGGGGCTCAAAGTGGCATATTTGGTTCTCCCTCTCCTCATTTAATTCCCATAACCCACTGAGAGGCAGTGACTGGCCCTCGGCCACCTGGCAAACTTCATGGCTGAGTCAGATTTTGAACCTTCATCTCCCAGGTCTCATTCCCTCCACTATACAACACTGGCTTTCTGGCAGGGCTGGGAGAGACACCAGTCTGAAATTCTAGAGAGCTGCTGCCAGCTCAGCTGGTGCAGATAATAAATGGACCAGTAGTGTCTGACTCAGTACACAGCAGCTTCTTATGATTCCTAATATGAGTTTACAAAATTATGAACAGTGTGAAAAAAGATGTTTGTCCATGTCTTGTACTTTTAATGTTCTGTCTATTCAGGGTCACCCAAACATTTGTAGTAATTCAGGACTTATAAAATAAAGTACTTTTTCACCTGCAAAACACAACATATGATGTGCACTCAGACTGCATTTTTAATGTTTCATTTCATAAGGTGCTCTAGGAGCTAGGATAACGAATGTTTGAACAAATACAATTAAAACTGTCATGACCCAGGAATCCATCAGTGACACAGAAGGCACCAACAATGGAGGCCCCAGAGCTAGCTCCACCAAAAAATATATCTTTCAATATATCTTAATGTTCCTTAACTTCACTGATCTTGTTTTCAGATCCTGCAGAATAGTGGCAGTTTGGTGGCTCTGCTGTTTCTCCACAATATCCGAACTGTGCAGACATTAATGCCTAAAAAGCACTAGTGCAACCCAGAAAGAACGCTCCTGTTTAGGGCAACCACCACTCTGGAAAAGTAGCCTTAAAATCATGCTGAAGACTCACAAGGAAGGGGGATTCCAGATAAGGAAAATTACACCCTTTGACCCTCTTACCCCCTCTCCCATAAATTCTATAGTGATGAGGGGTTTCTTGCATGGAGCCTGAGCATTTTTATAGCTAGATGGCCTGGGTTGTGGGGCAGAAGTGGGAAGACATTGTTTTCTTTCTCCTGAAACATCCTCCTTGAGATCATGAGAGGCCCCTTCTGAACCCTAATTTCCCTACTCCAGGATACTGCGTTATTACCTGTTAGGGGCTTGAGCCAGTGGCATAGCGTGGGTTACCAGGGCCCAGGGCTGTGTGGGACCGGGGGGCGGGGGGGAAGGATGGAAACAGACAGAATATGCATGCACATTCAACTGCCTAACGGTGTACATGTCACCCTGGAGATTGCAGCCACAGAAATAAGAAAGGAATTGTTCCGTTGTCTGGAGAGGTCACTTCTGGTTCACACAAAGAAGCCATTTTCAATGGAGCCTAGTGGCGGAAGCATACAGCTGTAGTGAGGCAGCATTGGGTATGGAAATTTTGTGCCCCTAACAATTTTGCACCCGGAACAACCATCACTCTCCCCGCCCCATGCCACTGGCTTGAGCAAACCAGCTTCCTTTCTCTGTCTGGCTTTAGGTTGGGTTTTCCTTTCTTTCCCCCCTTTCTCTCAACTGATACCCTAAGATTTTCTGTCTCAACTAATCTTAGCCATAGGCTTAATCAATAGCAGAGAGATGGGTAATTTTTTTCAGGCCAGAGGCCACGTTCCTGAGTAACCTTACAAGGGTTGCATGCCAGCAGAGGAAGAGGCAGAAGTGGGTGGAGGATCAAATGTAGATTTTACCATTGTACAGTAAGCCAGTTTCTCACACGAATGGACAGACACACACACACCTCTGTCTTCTACCCAAGCAATATATTCCCGCCAAACAAAAACCCCTGGGGAGAGGGCATAGCACAGGCAGTGAAAGGGGTGGCCTAGGGAAAGTTTGAAGGACCAGACAGTGAGGTTTGGCGCTGGTGACATTTGGCCCCCAGGCCTCAGGTTCCTCCACACTGATCAACAGGTTTGTAAGTCATGAGACCTCACTATAGTTCACAAAAGCTTGTTTTACAATGAATCTATTAATCAGTAATATGTCCCCACAAGACTCTTTGTTCTTTCTCCTATCCAGGCATCACTCTTATGCAAAATACAGGTAGTTACATCTCTAACATGAGCCAATTCTCAGTCCATGAACTGGCTTTAAATCAAGGCAAACAGCCCTATGGCTTTTGCGTTCCTCTGCTTTTCATTCATCCCAGCACTTTACTTTGGGGCAGTTTGGTGTATTTTAAAAAAAAAAGTTCTTTATCATATTTACATTATTTATTTCTTGGAGGGCACAAGTTGTTCCCTTGCAGAACACTTAGGTATGCCCTGGCATACGGTTTGGGCATTATTGATGGAGACTGATTTGAAAGCAGCTGCTCGATGGGAAATGACTTAAGGCAATAATGATGAATGATGTGTAATATATGCTAGAGCCTGAAAGCCAGGTCCCAGTTTTGCCGCCAGGGATTGTGAAAATACACCTTGCAAAATCCAGACCCTGCCTCACCTCTCAAAAGATGACACAGAATGCAAATGAGAGTCAGCGTGTCATAATGGTTTGTGTGCCAGACTGAGGCTGGAGAGATCCAGGTTCATGTCTGAGCAGGAATTTCACTGCTTCATCTTGGCCTAACCTACCTATGGGTTGTTGTGAGGATACAGTGGGCAAGGTGGGTGAGGAAGGGCTCCTTCAGACTGGTGTTTTATTGCGGGTGTATTCTGCAACAAGTTCTTGACTCAATAATAGTGCATTAGTCATGGATTTATTCTGTTTTAATTTGTTCCACAATGCTTCTCCACACTACTGCTGTCCTACGCACACACAATTGTCACTTTTACAGGTTTTCCACATTCACATTCACATTCACATTCACATTCACCGGAGCACAAACAACACATTTAACATCAACTTCCCTTCCCCCACTTCCATGGTTCATTTTAATCCTGGTCCTGAATGGAGTAACTGTGCCACTGAAGGACCAGGTTAATTCTGTGTCCAGGACAGCTGTCTACCAGCTCCATCTGGATGCCAGCTGAGACCCTACCTGCCTGAGCATTGTCTTGCCAGAGTGGTACATGCCCTGGTTATCTCCCGCTTGGACTACGG